CTCCTCGTCCACCCTTCCTCTCCTCCTCCTCCACCTCCGCTTCCTTCTCTCCTCTTTCTGTTCGCGATGAAAGCGACGCCAGCAGCGCGCAAAGGATATTTCTGTGCTGGCAAGACGCGGCCAGTTAAATCAGAATTCAATTTGAACGACGTTCGAGCTGGGAGATCCCCATAGAAGATACGAAATATTCATGGCGAGAATACTTTATCCGTTGTTATTCTTAGGCCGCGGCCACACGGCCTTCCATAAATACATTGCGCCCCGCGACGTCCATTTACAGCCGTCTGATCCCTGTCTTTCGTTCCTCCAGCTACCTCTTCGCAGAAATTTAGAGTACTCCGTAATCATAACGGTGCGTACGGCACTGCGTAATTTCCGCGTCGCGAGATCTACCGCGTATCGACACCTTTGCTCTTCAGTCGCTCCTCTGGCTTCGAATTTTAAGCAGGATCGCGCCTAAGGTCTCTGACGCGTCGAAGGGTAGCGAGCTAGGAGGCGAATTAACCCCCTTGACTGTCACACCGAAATCACGCGCTTCGCACAGGACGCCATGGGATTCTTTATTTTTATTAATCAAAGCGTACAAACGCTCCGGTCACCAGTGACCATCGTGGCGTCACAGAAGAAAACGGTACGCACGGCACTGCGTAATTTCCGCGTCGCGAGATCTATCGCGTATCGACACCTTTGCTCCCCAGTCGCTCCTCTTTCTTCGAATTTTAAGCAGGACCGCGTCTAACGTCTCTGACGCGTCGAAGGGTAGCAAGCTACGAGGCGAATTAACCACTTTGACTGTCACGCCGAAATCACGCGCTTCGCACAGGACGCCATGGGATTCTTTATTTTTATTAATCAAAGCGTACAAACGCTCCGGTCACCAGTGACCATCGTGGCGTCACAGAAGAAAACGGTACGCACGGCACTGCGTAATTTCCGCGTCGCGAGATCTATCGCGTATCGACACCTTTGCTCCCCAGTCGCTCCTCTTTCTTCGAATTTTAAGCAGGACCGCGTCTAACGTCTCTGACGCGTCGAAGGGTAGCAAGCTACGAGGCGAATTAACCACTTTGACTGTCACGCCGAAATCACGCGTTTCGCACAGGACGCCATGGGATTTTTTATTTTTATTATTCAAAGCATATGAGCGCTCCGGTCACCAATGACCACCACCATGTCGTCTGCGTCGAAGGGTAGCAAGCTACGAGGCGAATTAACCACTTTGACTGTCACGCCGAAATCACGCGCTTCGCACAGGACGCCATGGGATTCTTTATTTTTATTATTCAAAGCATATGAGCGCTCCGGTCACCAATGACCACCACCATGTCGTGACAGGAGAAACCGTGACCGGTCATGCATGACCAACAGCAGTCAAAGCAAAGTTAATCGACTGCGAGGTATTTTCGCAGTTCACGAAGAGCGCGAGACCCTCGCGAATGTAGCAGTGACGAGGCGCGAGTAGAGTCTGATCGATTTAGCGCCAAATGTCGCCGTGTTTTACACGCGCCAATAATGGTCGAAATCTATGTAGCCAATATTTCACGGGCCACCCTTTCTCGCCCCCTGAGCGTCCCTTGCGTCGCCGTTATGAAACGCTCGCGTACACCAGCCACGCGTAGCCTCGGTTATTGGCTCGCATATGGCCGCTGCTCGATATTTCAAACTGCACGACGAAATGGAGATACGAACGGCCTCGTGCCGTCACTGAAAAATTTCCTCGGGAGAATTACTCGGAGTTGCTAAAATTATTAAAAAAGAAAGAAAAAAAGGGAACGAAGAGGAATTTTTTTAAGTGGATTTATTTATACGAGATACGTGGAATGAAGATTGGCAATTTATGTGGAGACAGAGGGTGCGAGAGACAAGCCTTTTCGCGTTTACGGATTTAGTACAGGCACGCGTTGAAACGGACAGGCACGCGGAATTATTTGGCCGGGGTTGGTCGAATAAACGGAATTTAAATACCTCGGAAGGAAGAGGGTGATCCCGAAGAGAAGAATGATAGTCCCAGGGGAGAGATACATCCGAGAACGGCAAGAAAGGATCCTTCCGTAACCGGACAGCGTAATTTACACGCGACGAGACTACGTTACACAGTTCACTGACTTCAAAGATTACTTTTTAACAGGCACTTGTCCGCAATTCCTCCTCGTGCCTTTCGCCTTTGCACGGCCTTCGCCATCTTCCGTTAAGAATTTGTTCGAATCGTTAATCGTTTTCCGAAATTTTACATAGTCGGTGGCAAGAGACAGGACAGACAGTGCGTTTCTCTTTTATATAAATTCGGAATTTAGGGTAGATGCGCGGGGCCCCTTGGTCGTTTTGTTTTTAATTATTCCAATGATTTATAGGTTTTCGCGGGTCTATTTTGGGGTTCGCGCCGCTTTCAGAGGCGAAAGGATCATCGTTTCGACACATGTCCACGGTGGGTTCGTGGATCGTTTTAGGGTGCTGTCCCTCATTCTTCAAAAACCGGCCAGTGCATATGTCGGCGCAAGAAACATAATGTTATCAAGCTGTCCGGCAGAGAGGCGAGCAGCGAGAGGACGAAACCCTTGGGGAACCTCGTCCTCGCTCTCGTCCACTTCGTCCTTATTGATATACCGAATAAACACACTTGGCAGCTAGGCGGGATAGCTTTGCGAGGCAAATAGACTCGGAAGGACCGCGCTCTTCGCCCTGTATCCTCTCTTAAAGCGGAGACTACGATCGAACGCGCCACTCCTATATATCCCTCCGTTACTCCTTAAATGTCCATAGACATTCCATAGAAAGTATCCATAGTCGCTAGTCGAATTGAAAAATTACCAATCGTATCAAACCGCATTGAAAGAAGCGCCACCCACTTTATCCTAGTCTCCGATCTCGAAACATCGCCAAGGAAATATCCATACCTATTCTAAAAATTTAGAAATTACCATTAATCATGGGAAATGGAGTTATTGCGAAAAAGGAAGGGATCGAGATCGGTCTGAATTTTTCGCGAAAGAAAGAAACACTACCCCCTTATCCTAGTCTTTGATCTCGAAACATCGCCTAGGAAATATCCATACCGATTTTGGAAACTGGAAAATTACCAATAATAATCGAAAATGGAGTTGTCACGAAAAAGGAAAGAGATCGAGGTTGGTCTGAAATTTCCGCGTGAGAAAAACACACCACCCCCTTTATCCTAGCCTCTGATTTCGAAACACCCCCTAGGGAATATCCATACCTATTCCGAAAACTGAAAAATTACCATTGATAATTGGAAGTGTAATTGTTGCGAAAAAGGAAGAGATCGAAGTCGGTCTGAATTTTTCGCGAAATAAAAGAAACACTACCCTCTTTAACCTAGTCTCCGATCTGGAAACACCCCCTAGAAAATATCCGTACCTATTCCGAAAACTGAAAAATTACCATCGATAATTGGAAACGGAGATGTCGCGAGAAAAGGATGATATTAAAGTCATTCGGAACTTTCCGCGAGAGAAAGAAATACCACCCCCTATATCCTAGCCTTCAATCTCGAATCACCCCCTAAGGAAATATCCATACCCATTCTGGAAATTTAAAAATTACCATTAGTAATAGTAAATGAAGTTTTCGCGAAAAAAGAAAGAGATCGAGGTCGGTGTAAACTTTCCGCGAGAGAGAGCACCCCTTTGCCCCGTGCCCGATCTCGAAACACCCCCACGAGCTAATCGAAGGAAGACGTTAGGTCGTGTCGCGTTACAACCGCGCGGCTTTCAACTTTCGACCCCTATCGATCGGCGCCCTTATCGAGCCTCGGCGCACCTTGTCCACTGGCGGCTCGATGGTAAATAAAGATGGCCGGTTTTCCCATCAGCTCGCACACACGCACCCCCAGCCGTCCGCTCATGTGTGCGCCGGCCAGACGGTTTTAAATTCCGCGAGTCAAAGCGATGTTTGACATGGAAATGTTGAACGATGCATTAAACATGCCGCTTCCTCTCTTTTCCACGGAAAAAGGACGAGGAATCAGCCCTGCCTGCCCCTGCTCGCCGCGGCTATCGACGGCGAAACAGGCCCCGATCCGGGCCCCCACGCTATTGTTCGAGCAATGTTTATTTAAGCAAACGAAAGGAGCCACCGTTCCAACGGACTGAATCCGCCTTCCACCGCGCTTCTTGGACCGGCTTCCGGTTCGGATCGATAGCGGCGCGATGCGATGCCGCACTTCCAGCGCAACGCCTCCGACCGGGCTACCGATTATTCTCAACCGGGCACCCTTTTACATCCTATTTCTTTATTACCCAGAACAGTATCAGAGCATAATCGGCAATTCCAAGAGGAAAAGAAAGCTCCGTCGACCGATAGACAAAATACTCTGCGTCACTTCCAAACGCGATCAAACTTTCGGAAGATCTTTCGTGGAGTTCTCCCTCTCTCTCTCGAGAGAGAGAAAGAGAGAGACTTGGCAGAAAATTTCAACGAATGGTCCTGCAGGGCAAATAAAACTTCCCGAAGGAACTTAGGAACGCGGCGTAAAGACGGTAACGGTTATCGTTGGCAATTATCGGCGCGAGTGAAAACGGGACGAGCATCGCGAATCGGGCGATCGCGATTGGCGGAGCAGCCGCCGAGGGTCGGAGGCGAGCACCTGCAAGGGGCAATTTCGATGGACCTCTCCCTAAAAGGAACATCCCCCTCCCATTGTCCGGCAAATGACATCAAGCTTATTGCATTATTTAAAGAGCCCCGCTTTAAGGCCGCTTTAAGCCGCTGACCCTCCGCTTTTTCGGAGTGCTGCCACCGTTCCCGACCAGAGTGATTCTCCTGTCCGTCGATAGCCACGGCTCGATCTTATCGCGCATTTGCCGGCATAAGTTATGCGGATTTATTCCATCGATTTACCCGACACTTTGCTAACTTATCCTCCGATTCGTAAATAATTAAATTTACAACCAGCTCCCGGGCGAATGCTGAAGCGGTCGTCGAAAGTGTCGCAGATGCGTGAATTGATTAGACTTTCACAAAAGCGCGGTATTGGTACTCACCGGGAGATATGCCGAGTTTCACGTGGAGACTGCTGGGGCTTCTGTGATCGGGAGTGGTCACAGGGGCGGCAATGGGTGGCGACGGGTGGGGGTGTGCCGGTGCTCCGCCACCTGTCGTCGTCGTGGTAGTGGCGGTGGTGCAAGGATTTAAGGGTGAGGTCCTCTTGAAAGACTGTTCCGTCCGCCACGCGACCTCGTTATCGCCTATCCAAACTTTACCTGTGAAAACAAGCGAAAATTCTCGTTAATTTGCCGTCACACCTGCGTTACTTTTAACGCGGAACGAGCTGTAGGTACTGTACGTGCGCGTAGTGTCTTCTCGACGTCGATAAATTAACACAGTTATTACGTGTACGCGACGGTTGATACGCGCGCCGAGTCGAATCGGAGAGAAAGAGCGCTCGGAAATTATGCCAACGGACGTGTAACGCTATCGTGCATCAGGATCAAATTGCAAAAGAAAGTCCCGAAACAAATTTTCCGTCCCTCTCTCGTCTGTATTAATATAACGCTGGGGCCTTTGTGTCTGCGCAGAAAATGGCTTCTCCCCCTTCACGAGTTCGCGTAATTAGCCACCCTCCGATCCCCTATTCCTGCCAGTTTTCCCGGCTTTCCCTCGTTTCCCTTAATTTCTGGGAACAATGCCGGCCTCTGGATCTTGTTCCAGCCTGCAGTGTCTAATTACACCCTGGCAGCGCAACGTTGCCAACCCTCGCTACGCGGTGTATAGAATTATCCGGAATTTCAAATTCCTTGCCGCGAATTCGTTACACGCTCCTTCTTTAACCTCTCGCGTTATTCTCGCGAGCGTTTCGCGACGCGATCGCGAAATCTTCGACGAAGCTCTGTCGTGCCTGCCATCTCGGCAGCCCCGGGAATCTCGTCGAGAGAGCGTGGATTTGCTCGACACCCCACACGTGACCGTAGGCTGCACGCAAATATCATCCCGCATGCGTGGGACGTGAGTCAGCCCCGGCGTTATTTGCTCGATGAATGATTTAGCCTCGACCCGTCTCCTTCCAACGTTATCTCGCGTCCCTGCTCGCGCTAACGAGGGCGAGGAGGCGAACTTCCCGTATATCGGAAAGCGAGAGGGAAACACGCAGAGGGTGGGAAAGGAGGAGAGGGTGGAAAGCGGGGTTGGTCGTGGCGATTCGAACGACGGAGGGTGGTCGAGAGAGCGAGTATTCGCGGAAAGGAACGGGAGACGCGGAGAGGAGGAGAGGAAAGAAAGTGTAGCTGGCGCTAACTAAGGGCGTCGGCTAATCAATATCATCAGAGAATGGCCGCTGACCTCGAGCCGACCGGTGGACCCTCCATTCTTCCTCGATACTTATGCCAACTTTCAGCGCGCAGGGATCACTATGAATCGGGACTTTCCCCCGTTGCAGGCTCCGCGCCGTTTTCACGCGGAATTTCGAGCCGCGTGGATTTACCTCGATTAGCATGGTTAACGCGTGTGCGTGTGGAACGCGGAGCGAGGGAATAATTAACAGGCAATAAGGAATCCGAACGGGAAGATAATTATTCAGGATCGGCCGGAGTAACCTCGAGCTATCGTTATTTTCTCTGTAATTAATAGTACTGGCAATAATACCGGTAATTGGACGCTCCTTTTACCTTCTGCAACTCCCATCCACGCATCGCTTCTAAATAATATATTATATTAATTACGGGTCGCGTCGCGATCGAGGAGTAATTGATCGACCTCGGTAATCGCGTTCTCGTCATCGAATCGAAGACACGTCGATACGTCGAACGAGATAAAATTTCAGCGAGACTCCGTCGTACTGGAATACCAGGGTAATTTTGACGAACCCGCAACCTTTGGACCTCTGTACCAGCGTGGACTGGATTTGCGCGAGGGTTGTTGGCCCGTGGCGTGTCTCGAGGCCACGAATCGAACGAACCACTGCTCCTTTAATCTCGCGGTGTTTGCATGCTCCCCTCCAGCACACGGAGACAAACGGAACCACCCCTCGAGGGCGGCGAAACCGACGAGCCTCCGCGAGCACGCCCTGGAAAATTCAATTACGCCTCTGCTCGCGAGGATCGCGCCTGCTCTCTCATCGATCCGCTACACCTTTCCTTGCTTCCTCAAAAGCAACCCAAGTCTATTCTCAGAACAACGTGCAGAACGACGATAAAGCGAAAACGAAATTAATTATTACCGCGATAAAATCGCAATAACGTCGGCTGTTAAACGAGCCTCTCGTTGGCTCGTCGAGCCCCGGAGAGCTAGAGTGACCCCTGATTTTCTTAAAAACGAGCCGTGGAAATCCCAGCGAGGCGATACCGGTCCGCATAAACGGAGCCATCCATCCGATTCTCTCCCTTTGCATTCCCCTCGCTCGTTCGTCCAGCAGGCGCGAACTCCATTCACGGGTTTATCACTGTCCAGATAACGACGATTTACCTATGGACTCGTACGAACGTCGAGGGTGGAACAGGCGCAAGGGGCAGAAAGGAGGGGGCCGAAGAAGTGGAAGGGTCGAAGTGGAGGGGTGAGAGGCGGTCAGCCACCTTGCATTCAGAAGTATTTCACTTTAACGGCCCTCCGGGGGATTGGCTGACCCTGCTCGAAGACCCTTCACCGTTTCAGCATAATGGACCTCTACATTACTTATTCGTCCTGGCCAATGTCCTGCCAGAAGCGACCGCGCTCGTTTCCACGTCCTTCCATTTCCGTGCGCGATTAATCGGCGGCCTGGATCCACGTTCTTCCTGTCTACGCCATCCTGCGCCGCGGACAATGGCTAATAATGTCCTGCCAGAAGCGACCGCGCTCGTTTCCACGTCCTTCCATTTCCGTGCGCGATTAATCGCGGCCTGGATCCACGTTCTTCCTGTCTACGCCATCCTGCGCCGCGGACAATGACTAGCGTCGAGGGCTATACGTCGTACGGAGGGTGTAATTAGAAAGCCTCTGAACGCGTTACAAAGGGGCGCCTAGCGTTGCATTAATTTCCCAAAAATCGAGAGAGAAAGGTGCCCTTATAGATGATACAACTCCGAGATAATTCGATCGCGTGGAATGAAATTAATTCCGACTACGATTTCGGAGACCCGAGCTCCGTCGGAGGATCCGGCAAATTGTCTCGGGAGTCTCTCGACGCGAGCATCCACGCGATGGTGGCTATTCGCGAAACGTCCGCACGAGTCTCGAATTCCCTTTTAAAATCGACTTCGGCGTCCTTCCAGCGGCCCCTGGCAATCTCGATTCCGTTCCCTTCTCCCTGGAATTCCTCGCGTAGCCGGCGACTTCCGGTTCGCAGGGTACCGTGCGACATTAGCGGCGTCACGTACCGCGCAATTTCACCGAACGCATCCTGGAAGCGGGCAGGTGGACGTGAAATTTCGTGGATCGAAGGAAAGGTCGCGGGCAGAGGCCCGGGGCAATCTGCTTTCCCGCGGTACTCGAAAGAATTGAAAATTCCTGCTCGTCCAAGGGTTGAAGAGGTCGGCAGGGGCGGCAGGAGAGAAGGGGAGCGGAGGGAGGGCAGGGGTGGAAACGGACGCGGATAAAGCGTTCGATATAAGATTAATAGCGGAGGCCGCTGACCGAGCCGCCTGTGCACGTCGACGAGAGGGCGGCCGGGCTATATAGACGACGGTGATTCCTCTTTGAAGGTGGAATCGTGGGCAGTGGCCAAATTGAATCCTGCTTAGGACAGGAGCCGCGACGTAGGACGGGTGCCTCGGGCCCTCGGGCACTTTCTCCAATAAATAAATTGCTCCGCGCTCGCGCGAGTCCGCCGCAGCGCGGAATCCGCTCGGATTAAAATCGTTCCGGATGGTGGCGAGACACGTGGATCCTGACGATCGCGCGGAATTAATCGCGTCTACGCATACGGTACAAGGTCCGTGATTCGTAATTTCCGTCGATATTCGATTGCAACACGGTGAAATTAAAATCACGTGCACCGTTGGTGTTCCGGTCGACCGACGAAATGCCGCGAATACAGCCCTGTCCCCGATTATCGTCCATCTCGCGATTACAGGCAAATTGGACGTGTGAAAAATTCCTACGCGTATCGTTCGATAATCAAATTTCTCCGCCTCTCGTCGCCTCTCGTCGCCTCTCGTCTGCTCGGCCGATAAGATCCGACGGCCACGTGCCGAACGGGCCGAAAGCCCGCGAAGGGGGTCACGAAGGTGCCCCGCGAGAGCGGTCGCATCGGCAGAGATAACGAGCATCTACGTGCAAGCACCTCCGCGATGCACGCGTCTCGGGAGCACCTTCCCGATGCACGTGTGAACGACCTTTAATCGGTCGTCGCTTCGACCGGCTGCGACCCGGCGAGGAGTCCCGGCGATATCGTTTCCCAAACGTACGCGCTATCACGGCCCTCTCGATCGGCTCGATCTTTCGTAATTTCAATAACGAAGACGCGCTACGTCCCGGCCGATCGACGATAAACGCGTGTCACCATCGCGTCACGTACGCGTCTCGAAGACGCGTAATCGCGATCGAGATCGGCTAGTCGCGACGCGCGTACGTGGTGTGAAAATTAAAATAGAGGATCAGAAATGTGACTAGAGAAGTAGGATCGCGTGAAACTGTTATCGTTATCCGAGGCATCGAGTTTCGCAAGCGGCCGTCGAAATGGTCAGCGATACGAATTTATCGCGTTAATCGTCCTTTCATTGAAACGAAATTGCCGAACGGGCCCCGACGGGGAGGGCGAAGCGTGGACGAGGAGGCGCAGAAGAGGCAAGAACGGGTGGCAGCGGAGGCAGCGAGGAAAGAAGACCGTAAAGACGAGTCGACGAGGGAATTATATTCTTTTTTTTCCTCCTTTTTCTCCTTTTATTATCGATAACGATGTAAGTTAATTGCATCGAGGTAATTAAATTACTTCGAGAGATTCATTAGGATGACGCATTATAGTGGAAAATTTATGCTGTTTACTCTGGAACTAATAAAGTGGCTTTATCTAGAAAAAGTATCCGATTATCAAGCGTTACTACTTACGCTACGGCCAGATAATGATACTAATACGCGCGCGCCACTTTTACGGGTTTATTAGAAAACGGAAAGAATAAAAAGACGGGACACGAGCGAGCGCTAGCGCGCGATCGCGCGCGCACACACGTATACGTACACGCACACGCGGCAACGCGTTAGCTTTTATCGTCCATCGTGACGATAGTGTAGTATTTAAAAGAATCGACCGATAACATCCCGATTACTATCGAAGCCGTGATCGTTTTAACTT